TCTATCTCGGCGATCGAGGTCGTTAGGATCGCCAGGATCGCTGGAGAGTGTTTCCATATGATCGCTACGATTGTTGGGCCACATTTCGGGCGATCGTGGCGATCCTAGCGATTGTAACGATTATATGGAAACCAGGCTTTAGATAACTTTTGTTTTTATCCATTTTCTCAAGTTCTTGCCGAACAGGTGTCCAGTTCTAGTCCGAAACTCGTTAGTAAATTGTTTCACCTATTTTTTACGGTGTAAATTTATCTTTTTACACATCCATTTCTATTGTTAACTATATTATGACATGAAAATGAGCTGAAGGATCTGTCGTACTACTCCGTGGCTGAGTACATATACAGAAGGTCTCTCATGTAAATATTATGGAGAGAAGAAATTAAAAGAATCTCATGCCTAACAGGACGACAGGACATTATAAAAGCGCACGTGCGTGCCTAAGATTTTCGAAAGTTGGCCAACTATCAGGAATAGAAATAACTTTTGTCACTTTTTCTGTTTCTAAATATTAAAACCGTCTTATCGAAGTACGACCATCGAAGTACAAAGTCTTTTTTACGTGTTGTCGTCAATAATGGTGACTTGGCTTCGAAAATTAAGACTTTACATGATACAAATTTCAGAAATAGAAATAATTATCAAAACACCTCATTTGAACCAAAATTTATCCGAAGATTTCAGTTATTTGATCCGGACGGCAGTCTAAACGGTAGTTCATAAAAGAGACTTTGAACTTCGAAGGTCGCATGTGCATGTCGACATAGTTTCCGAACATAGTTAAGTAGAGGGGTTCCCTCTATTAACTTTTAAATGTCAATGATRATGGCATGTAATGGTGTACCAGAAAATGACTGTAGATTTAATCTGATTATAGTCAATATGTCCAGACAGAAATAGAAAGTGAAGAAAAAAATGAGAAAATGAATGAGATGAATATTTCTATCAGTTTTAATCAAGCTTTAACACAGGAAGCCCAACAAAAAGGATATATTCCATTGTTCATAAGAAAAAAACTACATTTACACAACCTGTGACTTTGTATTACGAGTAATAAGAATCTTTGTGACATATGATTTACTATTGAATATTAATATCATACTGCAGGTCAATTAATATGCAAGGTTATTGATCGCATTCAACCAGAACAACCCATCGCGTGCGTTGATGAATTTGACTATAGTTATCGTAGCTTTCAGACAGTATCTGAAAAAGATGTCATATATATCAATAACACCATCAGAGTTTGAAATCCGCGTTCGTGCGCTGAAACCATGGACTTTGCCATCTTCAATTCTGCCGGTATTRCTTGGTACATTGTTGGCGTACAAATCGACAAAGCCGTTCGACCCGTATCCTTTCGTCTTGTGCTKTTTTGTCATCATCGGGATGCACGCAGCGGGAAACTTTGTTAACTCGTACTACGAAGCCAAAAGCAGAGTGTTTTTCACGAGCCCGTTGGAGCGAAGTGTGATAATCTACGAGACCGCTCGATGTGCTGTAGCAACCTACTGCATTGTCATACCTTCCTTTGGATTACTCCTGTTCTCGTCTGTATCTCATCTCTGGCAGGAATTAGYCTTGTTCTCTACAGGCTTTATCGCTTCTATTTTATTTGGCAAATATTTAAGGAACATTGCCGTAGGGGAGTTTGCAGTAAGTGCTGTTTATGGTCCCTTGTGTGTGATATTTACCTACGCCGTTCAAGTGGGTTCTCGTAGAGAGTTTAGCACATCATGGTTGTGTCTATATTCACTACCCCTAGCACTTTCTACCGAATGCTTTCTTCATAGGTAAGAACACCAATAGATAACTGAAACAAACAAACAACAATAGGAATCAAGTACAGCAGAAACAACAATTTAAGTGTTTGAATAACAACAGTAATTAACCACCATCAGCAGCTTTACCCTGGKGTCAAACCCACCCGGACCTGGGGGATTTGTAAAAATGCTACTTCAGCATTGGTTGAACTCACGTTGGGGAGGGGGGCAGTCAAAGAGTATGAATTCCTCACCATTGGATTTCACCTTTCAACTTCTTTGTTAGGTAATGAAAATTAAAAATCCCTCGCCCCTCTGGTGGAACCCAGGGGGAAGCAGCTGGTGGGTGCATAACAATAGTTTTGGCAAATCTTACCTCAAATGACATTAAAATCCCTTGAAATTTGCTAAAGCGTAGCCAGATGGTAAGGGAGTATTCATCTCGAGGTTTAATTAAGTCATATATATATACTATAGTAAGTCAACACAGCTAGAGCAAACACAGGAAAACCATGAATACAAATCAAACTAAATACTAAAAAATAGAGGCTATTTAGAGACAATTTGTCAGTATCAATGAACCAGAACACAATTAAGATGAATCCACATGGGACCATTTTTCATTCATCTTTATTGCATTCTGGTTCATTKATACTGACAATTTGTCTCTAAATAGCCRCTCTTTGTTAGTATTTAGTTTGATTTTATTYCATGGTTTTCCTGCGTTTGCTCTATCAAGCTTGGACTATTGGTTTTCTGTTGTYATTACTGGCAATTTTGTGTCTGCACTAATATATAACACTRATCAGGTGCTCTAAAAAAATCTAAGCCTAATGCTAGCCTAATGTTAGGCATACTGGTATGTAGATGTTCTGGCATGTAACCTACAAGCKAGTGGCACAGGAGATCATGGATGCCTTATCAAACATGGAAWAGCCTATGCCCCAGCTTGTCGGCTAAACATGATTATTTCCCAAAAATCACAAAAACTAAATGTTGTCATATGTAAGACACAAAATTCACGCCTAGTTGTTTTATAGTTTTGTTTGTTTGTTGTTGTTGTTGTTTTGTTATAATGGTTCACCCCCTCTTTGGGCTCCCTGTGGTCGTCGCTCACCAACTGATAGGACTTATGGAATCAGTCTAAATGTAAACCTAGGAAGAACAGAAAGTACTTTGCAAGTATAATCGCAATAAATTTAACACTAGACTAATTTRATAACACAGGGAATCAATGATAGGTATGTTTATTTTGCAGTCAAAACATCCGGGACCTTAAAGCTGACGTGAAGAACGGATCTACTACGCTAGCGTCGTTGCTAGGTTACAATAACGCTATTAATGCCCTGCCACTGTTACTACTAWCTCCCCATCTGGTCACAGCTTTCCTGGGTTTTAATGTATCCAAGTATTTTTTCTTCCCCCTGCTGTGTTTGCCGTTATCAATGCTTTCTATTCCAAAGTGCAACGAAGACATGGCAGTACTTCCCGAGAAGACATCGATCGTGGGTCTCATGTTTGGTCTTCTTTATCTTTTAAGTTTATTGTATTCGTTTTAATACGTTTTACTAGATTGAGCGCACTTAATCCGTGAAGCAAAAATATTGCAAAATGGCTGCTAAATTATGCTAATTTATAACTTGTTTTCTATTTCTTGATCGAAAGTCTGTACTAATTGTTAATGTTTTGTTTCACGGATTTAGTCCGTCCATCGTTGATGATAATCTAACCATAATTTAATTCTAAAATTAATGTACTCAAGAACCAAACATCCTGGGTGTAAGTATACATTCTCGTACCCARATCCCCCTTGGGTTATTTCTCATGGTCTGATTATAGGAAGCGGGATGTCCTGGTTGATCAACCTACCTCGGTTTTACGAGATCTCGGTTTGTCTTCAAGACGACAGATTCCGGCGGCGCGATTACTTGGAATAGAGTACAAAAATATGACGTCACAAAAATGTGGGAGAAGCTAGCTATCTTCCACTCTTCCAAATTTCAGTGTCCTAGTTCCATTTATAGCGGAGATATAAGCGCTTTTATGGTTGGGTGACCACATACAAACGCTTGTAAATTTACTCTGGTCTCCATTGTTATGAACCAGACCAAGTTTACAAGCGTTTGAATRTATGTGGTCACCCAACCATAAAATCGTTTATATCCCCGCTATGAAGGCATTGAAAATGACGAACTTTCAGAATGTGGAGGCCAATTTTAAAAACTCAMAAATGTTTGTTTTTTGACCTCAGCATCCCTTTAAGGGATCTCGACAAACCGAGCTYAACATTCCCCATATAATCGATGGCAGGACAGAAGTTATGCTTAGCATACATGAGCGTTTCGGTTCGAAAAAGCGGCAAACACATTGCTAATAATTTAACGGTATATTCCTGTCGCCTGATCAAGTGAYTACCTTCCATTTTGAAGAAATTTAGATTTTCGCGGGAATCGTCCCGGCAAAACTTCAAATTCAGTTGTTACGACGTAAGCCGGTAGTGAATTGAAAACAATAGAAAAGAAAGGAATGGAAACGAGACCTAAGGGCCCTTGAGGTGGTCAGATGGMAAATACCAAGGGATTCCCTTCACCTGAATTCAAGAAAAATTGCTTGTCAGTAGGAAAAGGACATTTTCTTGCTTCTTGTAAATTCAATAAGAATATTTTTTAATCCCTAAGTTACTTCCGGTTTATGTCGTAAGCGTGTATGACGATACAGGAAGAACGAACATTGATCTCGTCAAACGGAGGCAGCCCAGTCAACCGGTGCGCTTCTTATAATCAGGTCCTCAGTGAATGGTCTGTGTGCGAGATTGTAAAATATAGTGAACTAAAGGTCCAAATACTTGACTAGCATGACACACCCTCATGGGCGTGCGTTTACGTAGATGTAAAGGAAAAAAAGGCAAAAATTAAGAAAAAGTGTGGACGAGACATTCAGTAGCCTCCTCACGCAGCCGTATACCAATTTCCAATTTCGAGTTCTGGTTTGCTCTGTATTAGCCTCAAAACCAAGTAAAATATTCTCTTGTTTTATTGATAGCCCGAGAAAACGCATGGAATTTGAAAAGAAAGACAATAGAATTGATTTGAGATCTCACACTTTTATTCTCACAATTAGGAATATTTTGCGCACAAATGAGGCTAACACAGAGCATTGGAGTAATCGAAACTGGATTATTGTCGGCACATGCACAGTGATATAGTGTGTGTGTGATTTTTTTATAATTATTAGTTGATATTTTAGCATTAAGTAGCATCATCTTGACATCCAAATTTTAAATGTTAGTCTCAAGTCTTTTTGACAATAAAAAAGTCGAGTGAAGGCATCATCGAAACACATTAAACTTCCCTCGCCTTACATGCACAAACAAACATCTTCTGAACGAGAAGTGAGTGTGCATACTGTGACAGCGACGACCTAGGTGTAAGCACAAGAAAAGCGAGAATATTTGATAATTGCGCTAACCCTAATCCTATAAACCTCATAAAACTGAACAGGATTATGTCTAAATTGTCGCGTGAACTTAACTACYCTTAGATTTTTTGCCCGACGATACTTAGGCGACAAACAAAAACACGACTACGACTGATTGGTTAGAAGGAATCTCCGCCAGGGCATAGCGATAATTAAAATCTTTGGTTTGCTCACATAAAAATGCTTGAGAAGTAGTAAATTACGATCTGTTTTCAATATATTATTAAATTTGCCTATAAATCTTTGGGTGAGGAGGRGCACCTATTTCAAAAAATACGCAGTCGAGGACTGCACGTGACTCAGGCATATATAGAGATCTAGAATAGGACATAAGACAGAGTGTAATTTGAACTCTCCTTCATATCATTCGCAAATTAGAGATAGTAAACAAAGATAAGTAGGTAATATCATCTTTAAAAGGACGGAACAGTAAAAAAATTCATCATCAATTTTGCACTATTTTTGTTTCAAGGATCGAAGTGAGTTCATAGAAATTTGTGCCTAGTTCTCGACACAAAATGGTTTGAATACATTRTATTKTGATAAAAGAACACGAATGCACAAACACGTCGCAAAGAGAACGCGGATGGTCAGGCAAAATCGATTTTTATCGTAAATCTCAGTCGTCGGGATTTCGTAGACGATTTCGTACATGCTCGTAATCCGAAATTACTTCGATTTGGTTGAAATTMSWTYKRKTTRSYKACMSWCAMYMMACWCACTCACTCTTGGTCAATGACATAGTGACGAGAGGCCTTCGTCACAAAAACGTTTTCGTCGCCAGGGCACCAGAGTGCAGTCTTGAGCCTTCAAAGAATCTCGGGATTTCAGTTCCATAAATGATTATATTTTTACTTCAGTTATTCAAAATTCTCAGTCTTGCAACAAAYATAGATTTGAAAACGTGAAATATTTTTCAAGAAAAATGTTTCATGTCAAGACTTTRATGGGATGGGTTTAATAACGCAATAGTTATTTAGTAGTGTTTGCCGCCTTTGCATTCAAACCACATAGGGAAATTTATTTTGAATATATTAATTACGCATGGAAACCCCAAGATTATTTGCAGACTCAAGACTGTGGACTGTGTCCTGGTGACGACAACGTTTTTTGAAATAGGTGTATATATTAGCTTTTCGAATACTTCCAATTAATATGAATGAATTTGCCTGATCTAACTAAGCTTATCCTTGTGATTTCGCTTACGATCGCATGGGTTCGAATCCGCCGCATTGCGCGTGATTTGAAGAMAATGAATAGACAATTGAACTTTTTCAAGGATTCTTTTATTTTCTACATGCATCGCCAAAATCTTCACTGACATAACTATACGAGTTGAATTGCACTTTGCTKCATAAATACTGTTGCCTTCATAGATCGATAAAACCGATGGGACAGGTGAGATATCAGTGATTAGAATACCCTAGWTTGACAAAAGCCGGTTTTTAAGCGGCGTTTGAAATTCTATTTTAAAATAGGCATATCCTTTACACAAAACCACCGAAAAAGATGATCCTATCCGATATATATGAAAACTGAACAGTTGAAACACACATAAGAATATGTGTATTAAAAAATTCCGGATTCGTGCATATGTTTATTRCATTTGCAGCAAAGTTAGACCCCTATCAAAATTGTTCTTGGGACTGTCCAAATGACGACAGCATTCGAACAATCCCGAAACATAGTTATATAAAAAACTCAATWACTATACCATCAGGCATGTAGGATCATATTCTGCTCATGCGCAGTGATGTGGTAAYGTAGTGTTCTTGCCTGCAAGAATCCATCTCGCTCCTCTCATGCCTTGGCATGCTCGTGATCATGCGCATCACCCGCCTCTCGACAACACTTTGTTGATAGAGGATAGTTTTACTTCACTGTCTTTTCAAAAGAAAGCGATACTTTAAAACCACTTTGTGTACTTGTAGATGACCGTAGACGCTTAGATACCCTGTCTCTTAAATCTATGGGTCAACGTTATTCTCCTCGCCCTCTAATGATCTTATTCTTGGAAAATTCCTTTGTTGAGAGATGTTATATTATCATATTTCGCATTATATCCTCGTAACAAAAGCAATTATAGGCCAGTATTATTAGCTAATAGTAATATATTGGACCCGAATTAATATTAAAGAATTCAAAAGAACTGTTAAATGTTTGTCTCATTTATTACCGTTGTGGAACTTCCTTGGGGCATGTTTTCRTTTTTAACCGAAGGAGTATTGTTGAGGGAATTGTCTTTGTTGGCCGCGTTTTCTTCCGTCCTGGATTGTTTTTCCGAATCGTTGTTCGACTTATTCTCAGTTGTGTTCTCATTTTTCTTGTTCTTGGTGATATTTCCGTTCTTTGTGTCCATTTCTATTGCTTCTTCTGTATCCTTGATGTTATTCGAGCCAAAAGAAAGTGCTTTGCCACAGCAGGTTATACCCTTTGAGAGKGAAACACTTTCGACGTCTTCCTTCTTGCCTTTTTCCTCTTCTTCATCGTTGATGTCGTTCTTCTCTCGACTATGTTCTCGTGAGTAATAATAAGCAAAGTTGGAAACGATTACGGGCACAGGGAGAGCTATAGCAAGAACGCCAGTAATTGCACAGAAGCAACCAACCAGTTTGCCTCCTGAAAAAGAAAATTAATCAATGTTGATAGACGTATTCCACTCCACCCCAGTGTAGCCTTTTATGTTCGCATCGTTAGTGCTGTGACGTCAGTGTCATGTATCAAGAATAGTCTCCTTCACGGTTCGCCATCTTGAAAGGTAGCCGTTACTTTGCATCGAATCCAGACGACCTCTGAGCTTTGGTGCAATGATAGAAACCCAAACGTACATATAGATAATTATTCATCAATWATCTATCATTGCACGCTTAACGGTCGTCTTGAAAGGCACCGCTTTCTTTCAAGATGTCCGCGATACGGAACCATGAGGACACCATTGTTGAATGGTAACGTTCAGAGACGTCTAGATTTGGATTGGAGCAGGAGATTTTGCAACAAAGACACATTTTCAGGGTAAAGAATAGTTTACAGTAGAGACAAGATTGAACTGAAAGAAACGTTAATGTAACTTGTTRCAAAGCGCATGCTAAAATCACACCAAACATCACACTTGGCATCCCATATATGGTTAAGGTCAATGATGACTTGCCAAAACCAACATCTCTTCTCACTCGTGGGCCRTCATAAAATGAGAGTGCGTGGTTTATGGGAATAAAGATTCGAGCCGCAAACGATCTCRTTGCGCGATGCAATTGCACTAACATTTTGATCCCACATTGAAGAACGGATCGTCGATGCTATAGTACAAGTCTACCATGAAACCTGATACACTAAAGGGACACTGTCAATGGCATGCATGCGCGAGTAAACTTGAAAACACTAGGCTADTGTTTTCAAGTTTATGACTCCAAGTTGGCGCGACATAAATCAGCTCGTAAACGTAAACAGATCTAGAATATTCCAAAGTGTGTCAAAAGCACCACAAAATGATTTACCTCGAAGGCAATACTTTCAAAGTCCGTTAGAAGTGAGACTGTTACTGCGCATGTCRTTCCATTGACAGTGTCCCTTTAAAACTCATTCTTTTTCTGATAACACAATGGTGAATTAAACATCTGATGTAGAATATGAATGCTGTTTATCAAGAAAATAGTCCAATCCGATTGGTATAAATAATGAAAAACGAGTTCTTGAACATCTTAAAATCATTATAAACATTTTAACTTTGGCGTAACGCATATAGTTTTGTCAGAGTCAGATTACACATGCACTTTTTACCAAGAAACCTTCACCGATCTAACCGATATTGTTTATTGCTTACACTGTAACTTCTCGTTTGACCRGCTGAATTTATTTCTGTGTTAATCGGTTATTCTTTTATGTATTTCAATATCTGCAATATCGCAGTTTATAATTCATCAAATTAGCAGTACTGAAGATAGTAACAAGGAACAGTGTGAAATTTGATACTTTATCTATAAACATATTCTGATGTTTTCAGATTTTCAGATTCAAAATCCGTTGCCTACGAAATCTTACTCCGAAAATGGCATATGCCGGCACTTTAGAATAATTTGGCAAAATTAAAGTGGTTAATTTTCTTCGAGTACTCACCCTCAACCTGTAAGTGTCGATAACACGGGTTGGTCTCCGAACCACTTGACTTAAAAAGGCACAAAGGGTAACCGACTGTCTCAACTGTCGACTATCAATTCACTGATAGCGATACATACAATTACAACAGCAATATATTTATTGCTTAGAGACATGTTTGGTTTATTTACTAGTAGGCGTGCCAATTGAAAAARATGTCAAACTTATCCAAAAAAAACTGAATACCGTGAGGACACAAAATCCCGATTGAAAACGCATGAGTATATAAACAATTTTGCTATTTTCGGCGAACAGTTCATAAACAAAATCTCAAGTTCATGTTTATTAAATTGGCTTTCTTGGTRAGGACTCTCGAGTCGTGGGCTTTTTGAGGTTTTTTAAAGCTAGTTCAAAAATCTGCGGCTATCGGATAAAATATTAGATTGGATGTCGYGATGTATTTTGAGCACACAGTCAGTTCAACGCACTGAAGTGATAAAACATGTTCACAAAATGAATAAACGTACAATCATGGCTCAAGTGTCGAGTACTCAGGCGCTTGATTTATGGATTTAACATTTCACAATGCTAGAGATTAAAACATTAGTTCACTTAATTGATGAAAGCCTAAGTTCAATAGTCATGACATGTTTTGAAAACAAAAAATGTGAAAGAGAAAGACCAACGCTGAACCCTCTTAAGAAAGAAGGCTATTAGTACAACACAAAAAAGACAACACAAAAAAACAACAAAGCCTTAGCGCATTATTATTAACATTTTAAAATTACTATTCAAATTCACAAACGTTTTTTTTTTACTACGACTAGATGCCGATACGTTCACCGAGTCAAATGTCAATCTCCGGCCGAGAAAACAAAAAACATGTTAACACTAAACACTAAAAAAAAACACACTAAAACCCACCAGCTATCATAAACATGTATACCGAATTTTGTGGGGGTACATACATGAACCAACATCAATAAATCATTTGATTCCCATTGGGTCATTCCCTGCCAAGGGAAACACTATACCTTAGGTGGTCGCGCAATAATACGAAGCGAAATGAAGAGAAAATGCATCTCAAAAACTATTGAGCCAAAGTATACTGTACTACGATGAGAACTATGATTWGTAGAAAGTATAACAATGCCTTGAAAAGAATTAAAACTATTTTACTGAAGGAATCTGAGGTGTTACTTTTTGATAATATAATGTTGCTGAAAATTAAATCTAATTTCTTAATAGTTGAAAGTATAAGTGCAAAAAAAGTAACCATAGAGAAACTTTGATAAGAGTTTCAAGTGACTTACCGAGTGTTTCTGGCACCATATCGCCGTAGCCGACAGTTGTCATCGTTATTATTGACCACCAGAAGGAATGTGGGATACTGAGGAATTTTGTCCCTGATGATCCAAACTCAGCATAATAAACCGCACTCGAGAATAATATCACACCCACACATAAAAAGAAAAATAGCAATCCGAGCTCTCTTAGACTTGCTTTTAAAGTGTGTCCCAATATTTGAAGTCCTCGTGAATAACGCGAAAGCTTGAAGATTCTAAATACTCTGACGAGTCTTACACATCGCAGAATAGCCAGAGACGATACACTTGTCGGTTCTTTCATAGGTAATGTAATGAAAAACGGGACAATTGCAACCAAATCTATAATATTAAGAACAGAGACCACAAATTTGCATTTGTTAGGGCTGCAGAGGAATCTTATAAGGTATTCAAAAGTAAACCATGCGATACAAAGCGCCTCCATCACGAAAAAAGAGAAATTRGCTGAAGATGACTTGTGCTTGGGCACAGGTACATCAGCCGTTGCGTTTCCTGTTGTTTTCTTGTCGGTTTTTGGATGAAATTGCGGCAAAGTTTCAACACAGAACAGTACTATCGATAGAATGATAACAGAGACAGAAAAGATAGCCGTTGCTCGCGCTATGCTTGACGTGTCTGGATATTCAAAAGTCGACCATATTTTTCGTTGGACTTTGTTTTTCGGCATGGGTCGGTCTTCTGCCGTGAAAGCAGTGTCCAAATCATCCCCTGCTTGTTGCAAAGCTTGTTCTCCTAAATCAAAATACTTGATGTCATTGACAAACACCTTCCTTGGGACGTTCGGAGGTCGAATAAGCACTCCGCACGTTTGGTAGTACGCGAGAATTGACTCGAAACATATCCTGTTTTTGTCAAAGAAATACTCCTTCTTTTCATGATCATAAAATTTCTCTCTCCTTCTACGACTTCCCAGCAGTGATTCAGGGAACCGTTCTAGTGTTTTATCGTAAGTTTCATAACGCAGACCCGATATGTTGATCACGACTCGTTTACCCAAACTTGCAACATCCAAACTCTTATCCTTCTGTGACGCTGCGGAGCTGTCTTCATTTTCCGTTTTCTTTGATTTTTCTTCCTTGGACTCCTCTGGCATTTCATCGAATCGGTGTTCAGAGCGAAATCGTGTGTTTCATTAAAGGATAGATTTCACTATGCCGAGAAACCTTTGTTGACTGCGCTGGCTGATACGCTCTGTTGAGCTCTATCTGTTCAATTGGAGTCAGTCTTGAATTAATCCTTGGGGAGCATAAATAATAATAAGTAGAAACGTTGCACTGCAACACTACAGCGTTAAAACATGACAGACGGCCGCCAACACTTAGGACTTGGACATCAATTAATAAATGAAAATAACTGCTCTATATCCTACTCGATTCAAAGGTTAAGAAAGCTAACCCACGAAAAATATTCCGATAATCCAATAGGTCACTCGAAGTCCTTYGCCACTGAATTCCAACTGGTGTTGAATTTGTGTTGTATTCTTTGTACTAGTCTACTGGAAGCACACTAAACCGGATCGTTAACTCTCTCTCAGTTATTGATCTCAGCTATGTGGTCGGTCAATATTGACCCTGTGCTACAAATGAGCTTTGTAAGAGCATACCAGAGGGTATCCCACCAAGTATATCAATATGCATGGCATTCCACAACACTCTGTTCCTGCTTTTACGAATCTGAAGAAGGCTACTAACTGTAACCAAATTGAAAGAATTTTCGAATGACATTACCAAAACATTTTTATCGGTAAATTTAGAATCAGAATATCCTGTTTTGTGGTTGAGAAAGCAGCTTATGTTTTCGAAGCGAGAGCTTATTTTATCGTAGCGCGAATTGAGTTTTGTTTTTGTCGTTTGTTTTCTGGAAAACTAACCTACAATATACCTTGGCTCCTTTTTTATAAGTGAACTTCTTTTTTAAAAATATAGTCTTCGTTTATATATTCTGAGATTTTTTTTCCGGAAATCCCGACGCAAACCCGACATCTGTAGTCGACCTATCACGAATGAAGCCGGTATGTTTTTGACAGGCAAGACAGAGGATCGTAAAAATCAGACAATGAAAATCATCAGTCCTAAGAGACAAATAAATCTTAAATTTTACAGAATGTGAATATATTAAAGGATTATCATATTCCCAAATGAAAAAAGGAAGAAAAAAATGRCAATATTTTTTTTTGAYGAAGTCAGTTAAAAAATGCTTCTAACAAAATCCTCAACAGGGATTAAAGCGTTAGTGATATTTAACGTTATTACTTAAAAAAAAGAATGTAGCCTTCTGGTCACGAAGACTGAAAATCAAGATAAATTGATTAACATGGTGCCGCGCGGTCTGAATTKTCATTCATAAGAAGAATTATTTATTCATGAGAAAAAGAAAACTAATATAATATAGCTTTCAAACTCTCCTTTATATCTAACAGCTTCTAACGGTGGCGTTGAGATAGTTTGATAAGTTCAAGTAACTTTCGGGGAGTTTTTTTCATATGTATTCAAGGGAATGTTTTCTGGTTAATTTAGCTTTTATCTTTCCCGCGCCATGCCTTTAATGTGATGTAAGGACATAATAGCTTTAAGAGTTTACCTTTTACATACTAAATCAGATTCAGAAAATTCCAGAGATTTGAAATTTTAACGCAATTAGTAATTCCATTGTTTATCCATACAAATCAAACGTCACAAAATGCGGTTCGCATTGTTGTTGATCCCTTAAGAAACTTACATATTGGTAAAGCAAAAACGTAGTTTTTGGGAATGGTGACGATTCGGACAATTACAATGAATTGTCCTCGCAAAGTTTTGGCCCCGAAAACCAGAGAACAAAACCGAGGAGGCACCTTAGGCCCTGTTTACATGAGGATCCCTAGGTAGTTGAGACAAACACTATTGTTATTCTATTGTTTTTCAAAAACAAAAAGCAAAACAAAACAAAAACAAAACAAAARACAAAACAATAGAGCTTGACACAACTCCCTAGGGCCACTCTATCTCATGTAGACTTAGAGTTTTTGTACATATACGTTGTTTTCAGGTTTGCCAAAAAMTTGCCTACAACAGGAGATCGACCGCAAACTTAATCGATCAATCAACAAACTCCAGAGAATTTAAAATAAATCATTTATTCATTCATTAATTCTTCAAAGTTGTCTTTTTTTAACCAATATGACTAACCCTCACACTTGATCTGTTTGTAATGTGAAATGTTTTACGCAAGTCGACAGAAGGAGATCCATAAACGCGATCTGTGTCTGTAAATAGCGACTATGGCTCCATCACTAAATAAAATTGTTTTGCTAGTATTTAGATCGTCTTTTTCAATTTAAAAATGCTCTAGGCTATTAAACTACACAAAGCCGCCAATGACGACAYGATTCTTTTAGAATCCCCCATCATCCCCAACCCCCTCGCAGCCTTGTTTCTCGCCGTACAGCCGATGAATAGAGGCCAGTTTACACTTGTCGATGAATAATGARTAATCAGGACAAGATTACTAAGAGGCGGTGGGGAAAGAGATACTTTTTTCGSTATATTTCCATTCTGAGGTAAATTTGCGCGACCAATTAAACTTTTATAGTTGATGGAGAAACCTTTATTCCATGTATTGTGGTGTTCTTGAGCCAATTGAACCACATATAAACACTGATTATTTCTAGAAGACGGAGGCAGTAGATTTACGATACGACTCGATCGATAAAATTAGTCGTTGYATCATGAGTATGGGGAAAGMGATACGTTTTTCGCAATATTTCGTTTCACAGTTAAACATCCCAAACCAGTTTTCAGAGTATTTTTTCAATAACAACAACAACAAAATGTGTGACCCTTCCCAGTTACTCTAAAACTAAATTTTTGACCCTCCCCTCAAAAGTACCAAAAATACTGATGACCCTACCCCCACCCCACACTCACAAGTCTCAGGCTATCAAAGTTTACAGAAAGCCAGTCATTATTTACACTAACTGGATGGGCAAAGACAGCTTATCTTAAGGTTCGGTGAATAAAGGGTTCACACAGATCGAAAAGTCATCATGTTTTCCTCTTTTCATTATTCCTAAAAAAAGTGACTCTCAAAACGCTCGAAAGAAATTTGCTTTTTTATCTTTCGCAAATAAATTTCCGGATGTGCAGACGCGTCGTAGTTTATGACAAATTTGGCGGGAATCTCTGTGCTTTGATTTCGCTCTCATGTGGATTTTTGTCATGGATTGTTTTTCTAATATTACCAATTTCAAAGATAAACGTCAATTCGCCAATTTCGACGTTTCAACAAGTATTTTTACTAGTTTATTTTTGCTCGAAGTATGGGTTTTCTTTGGTGGTACACGGACGCAAGAAGTACGCATTGAAAAGGGAGCGTGCGTACGCGAAAAACCGATCGATTTTTTCTTAGCCACGTTGCTCCGCAATTAAGCTGTAAAGATCATCAGTAAACCACAGGTTTTAAAAAAAACTTCAAAACTAGGATTACCCTCCCCTAGATAAGCTTGAAAATGTGACCTCTCAAAATTGATATTTGACCCTCCCCTCTCCCACTCCAGCCCTCCCTCCCAATAATAAATGTACCTTTCCTTATATTTGTAATAGCTTACCTGCCAGCTTTTCCCAGATGTCAAAAAATATCGAATTGACAAACACTGTTGTCAGTCTTTTTGGGCCACATATTCCTATGGTTAACTTGAAAAACTCTCTACTCGAAAATGACTAGGTTTTTCCCCTCTCGGATGTGCAAACGCGGACGATAACGAAATTAGCGRGAATCCCTTAACTTTCGCCGCTTGGTGTTCCTGTTTGAAAAATACTGGGGAGGACTAGGTTCTAGACTCCTCCACAGTCTCCTGTCCACACACGTGAATTCATTCAGGTGGATGAAAGAGAGAATATGTACTAGTAGTGTTTTTATCTAAATATTTGATCCATTTGACCCTGAAATGCACCATGAATGACGTTAAGAATGACAAAAAGCCTTCAGAAGTCTCTCGATTTGGTTCTTATCTACTTGCCCTTCGACCATGGTCATTTTCAGCTTCACTAATTCCAGTTGTACTCGGAGCGTTACTTGGTTGGAAATCTACCGGTGAGATCAACATGGTATTAATGGCTGTTACTACAGTAGCTGTAATTTGCGTTCATGCGTCAGGAAATCTTGTTAACACTTATTATGACTATCTGCGTGGTGTTGATAGTAAAGTATCGGACGATAGGACACTAGTTGATCATATCTTAACTCCAGATGAAGTGGTTCGAGTCGGCGCCCTGATGTACATCGTTGCTAGCATTTGTTTCTTGATCGTTGTAACATTGTCTCCAGCAAAGATGGAACACCTAGCCTTGTTGTTCTTTGGTGGTCTTTCAGGATCATTTCTGTACACTGGAGGTATCGGCCTCAAGTATTATGCTCTTGGAGATATTGTTATTTTGATAACATTTGGACCTCTAGCTGTGTTGTTTTCTTACGTAATCCAATGTGGTCAGTTTGCATGCTTCCCTTTACTATATGCTATCCCTCTAGCACTAAACACTGAAGCCATTTTACATAGYAATAATACACGTGATATGGAAAATGACAAAAAAGCAGGTGCTGTAACTTTGACAATCCTTGTTGGAAAGCAAGCTTCTTATGCTGTCTACTGTCTGTTGTTATTTACACCTTATGTCATATGTGTTGTTTGGGGGGTCAACATTTCTGTTCGATACTGGCTACCTTTGCTGACCATTGGGTATGCATTCAGACTAGAAAAAGAATTCCGCGATGGAAAACTTCTTTTATTACCAAAACAAACTGCAAAATTGAACTTATATTTTGGTTTATTATATTTGGTCAGCTTTCTTATAGCACCTAGACTCCCTCATGTCAGGAAGATTTGATATGCAAAATGAATTAGCTCATATATTATGATCATCCTTTGTAAGCCTTCTATACAGTTGCTGTGCATTCTTGAAGTGTAGCTGTGCCTGATGATACAAAGGAGATGTCCAGTAAGATTGAAAAACTATGGCTTAGATATTTAGTTGTAGCTAATTATTCATGATCTGAAAAAAGGTTTCATTACCAGTAAGCAGTCATATYACTTTGATGTAAACAACACTACTTCCTTTCAAGATGGCACAGGGAACTATAATTGAAAACATTATACACGTAATTTAAGATTACAAGCATATTGGCATGCGAGATAAAATCTTTCTGAAAGTTGTGCATGAAACTTTGTTCAGCCCATTGTAATATTAATTGTAGAGTTGATAGATTATATCAGTGCAACAAATATTAAACAATRTTATTATTGGATGAGTATTAATGGATATCTGAAATAAATTTCAAGGTCAAGGCAAGTGTAGTCAACCAAGACCAAAGGCCACACACAAATTTGATAATATTGTTTTATTATAAATTGTTTGCATTTGAAAATAAGATTTTAGCAACAAATAATGGCAAAGTGCAAAGCTGCACAGAGAATATCTTTTTGCACTTTGGGGCCTGGTTGTTCAAAGCCCAAATAGGGTTAAAGTGGTTATATATTAGCGCTCAACCATTGAGTTCACTCAATAGAATCCTAGCGATTCTTGGTTCTTTTGTTAATGCTGTAACTTGCTGCAACCAAGTTTTAAAAATAATATAGTAATACTAATTAATATTAAATGGTGTTGATTAGGCAATGGAAAACAGGAATAATTCAGCACATATTTTGTACTATTTTTTTTGTGCGAGAGTGTTACAGTTACACAGTTCAAGTGTGATCACTCAATGTCCACTCTAACTGTATTTTCATTAAAAAATGTACAATGTGTGTAATCATATGTGAATGGCATTGTCTATTTTCACATTGAACCTATTCATTTGTGTGATGTTAGATAATGCTTGAAAATTCATAGYTTTAGTTACTTTTTTTAAAACCATGAAATTACCATACTACACATTATATTATGCACATTTCTTTTCATCCGTTCTGTATGTTACACMTTTTTCAGGATTTATGAAACACTATTTCTGGTTTTCATTATAAATTATTTTCCAATCACTTCCCCGGTGGGAAGAGGTGTGGGGGTGGGGTGCTATCTCCCCAACTCGGATGGGGGTGTGCCGCACGATTATCAAAACCCTTACCCTATCCCAGACCAATTTTTTTACACACCCTAATTAAGGTACATTATTTTAGTACTGAAAGYGTGGCCTAGYAGATACGATCACAGGCAAAACTCCACCTACCACAGACAAAGTGACTTTACCCTATCCTAGGCAAAAAACTACCCTATCCCAGACAAAACTAACCCTAGCCCAGACAAATGGGGAAAAATGATACCCTATCCCAGACTTGGAGCTCCCCCTGGGGTCACTTCCTCTTGTGAAAATTGTTTGGGTTATGATAAAGTTCAGAACTCATATTGATGTTTACAATAGGTACTATATCGTTCGGCCTGCCCTATTTTTTGACCTCGTACTTCACAGAAGCAAATGAAACCTGTGATTATTGGTTATTCATGAACCAAGACTTTTTAGCATTAAATTTGAGCAATCATCATGTTCATTGAAAAACTGCATRGTGACAACTGGCATAAAGATCTATATGATGACAAAATAGCCRACTTGCGAATTACGCATCAATAGTCACATACAAAGGAATCAAGACGGGGCGCCGTGCTAAAGACAATAGATTTTTCMCCAAAAAGMACGGCGCCTCGTCTTGATTCCTTTGTATGTGRYTATTGATGCRTAATACGCAAGTCRGCTATTGTGTTGTCTTCCTTTACAGAGTACACTGAGAAATAAATATATATTCCATGATTTTTAATGACATCACATTGAAGATGAAATGACTACTCAAACTATGAACAGTCTTTGAGAAATTCAAAAAAATTTGATTACCATTAGTCTAGTATCCACCAAACTTTGGAAAAATACAGCATTTTGATTGGTCGCTGAAAAAAAATACTAAAAAAATGATAAATCTTCTTGTAGTTTCTGTCTTCTGTGTTTTTGTCAACCAGTGCTTAAAAAAAATTTCAAGTTTGTTAGTGAATGCAATATTTTATACATACATAATCTGTATCTCTGTGTGTGAGGACTGGGAGCGAGCGAGTGAGATAGACTGGGTACGAAAAACGTCGAAGAGACGTTCGTCCTGGCATGGTCGCCAAAATGTTATTTCTTGTCGTCTAATTACAGTAAACTTTCTTTATTTCACAACAAAACATGTAGGTACATTGTAAAACTACAAACGTGCCAGGACGAACGTCTCTTCGACGTTTTTCGTACCCAGTCTATCTCACTCGCTCGCTCCCAGTCCTCACATGTGCGCCCATGTAATATCCTCTATTTCTTACATAAAAGTGAATTGAAACCAACCATGAACTGAAACAAAAATGAGGGAAATACCAAAACCAACCTCTAAAATCAGTAGAAACTGTGCATCAAAATAGTTGTTATATGTTGTCTTTCCTATTGTGAGTCACCTTGTCCCAATATGTCCAATGATTATTAATACGCTAATTACAAAAATTCTATAAATTTGTAAATAATTCAACCTGTTTCCAGAAACAATGGCCCAAATAAAAATCACCTAAGAGTATGAGAAAGAAATTTTCATTGGCTAATTGTCAATGATGCTCCAGTTGAACWATAACATAAGTTAATAAGTTTCCTTAAAGGGACACTGTCAATGGCAMGCATGCGTGAGAAAACACTAGGCCAATTTGGCGCGACATAAATCAGCTCGTAAACGTAAACAGATCTAGAATATTCCAAAGTGTGTCAAAAGCACCACAAAATGATTTACCTCGAAGGTAATACTTTCAAAATCCGTTAGAGGTGAGACTGTTACTGGCAGCGCATGTCATCCATTGACAGTGTCCCTTTACAAGGGTTCTTGAGAATACTTCAGTGTGTGTTTTTTTTAACTGAGCCAGTAATAAACACATGATGTTAACATTTATATGAACGACTCAAATTTCTTGTAATATTTTGATTTTCATTTGTGTGAACATTTTTGCAAACAGGTRTAGAGTTTTATATTCAAAAAGATTGCAATTATTAAAGCAGAAAAGTATTATGGTAAACCATGTAAATCATAACTAGTGTACAACGCCTCAGTAGCATCATATACTGGTTGAATTGCATCTACTCCTTCTTTTAATAATTTCTTTGCTTCTTCCTCATTGGCATTCCCTCCGGAAGCCTTCTTTATCATGTCCCCAACGTTATCCAAAGTGTACATGGCGAGAAGAGCTGCTTTTCTGATTAACCACGGATGATAGCGAGCTAATGTCTCGTTATATGCATCTGCAGCTAACTTAGATGAGTCATCTTTATCACTAGCTTCACTTAGACCTTTCATAAACAGCACAGTGAAAGCAAGAGCTCTATGTAAGCGAAGCAAAGTTCGAGATCCGGATAGGGGTTTCGTCTGAGCCGCGGTTAGATTTTTTTCCACTTCAAAATCAAACATTCGCTTTACCATATCATAGTTCTTTCCATTTTCATTTGATCTGTGGTGCTTTAGGATTCCTATCTTATCGCGTACATCGGAGGTAATAAATCCAAATACTGATCCCAGAGAATCAAAAAAGATACATAGTTCATCATAGCCTCGTACGTACTCGTCCAAGACGATGGAACCATCCTCCTGTTTGGCTTTTGTGAATGAGTCCACTACAACGTCTAGGCGAAACTTTCGCTCCGTCATAATTTATATAAAGCTTTCGGTTATTAGCAACTTTAAAATACTTTGAAATAAAGAAGACAACAGGATCCTAAGACTTTACGGAAATAATTTGCATAAATAATTCAACACTGGTCAGCAGAGTACGTTAGGAAAACTAAGCGCAGTTCATGATCAGCGATGTCGGTTTTGGCAAAGTGACATATCGTGACAACAGTTTGAAAGTGTGCACATCCATCCAGCCACTACATATTTGAGACAGYGATGGTGTTCTGATTTAAGATGCCAAATATYAATATTGTTCCATTAGGTCTGTATAGCAGGGACTATTTGCGGAATTCGAAATGCAATTTGCACGTGTCTTCTATAATCTCGCCAAGGACTGGGATTCCTGTTTCTAGATATTTAGAATATTGATACAGTCAATATCTAATCTTACTAAAATARCTAATTTTCTTTTTGCCTATGTCATCATGCTATCTTATCAGGAGCTGGACAGGGTAAGTGTGTGATAATTTCATTTAGTATAAGGGTTTTCTAATTAATGCACTGCACRTAAACATATAAAAAAACCTTGCCCTAGTTGGTCCTAGTTGAATTCTTTTAATATCCACAAAAGAATTTAGGACAAGGCTTAGGGAAAACGAAAGAATTTGCTMTTCTCTGTSTTCATTTGCCCTATTTAATTATGACTTGACATCAAAACATTCTATAGGTTATGCATGAGTCGATTAAAATACTTGCACCCCTCAGGGCCTTAGTTGTGGCATTCACTTTTTTCTCAAGAGAATAATTGTGAATGCCCCAGTTACAAGGGAAAATTTAACAGGCGAATCCCTGAAGGTACCCTGAAGGTACCCTGGGTACCAGAAGAGTGATGTTCTCTTTCTTATAGTTTATTTACGTGGCTTAAGACATAAATAAGAAAGAGTAAATCACGCCTCTGGTACCCACTTCTCTGATTTGCCCTCTGGTAAATCATCATCATCATCATTCACCTGCAGAGCAGGCGACCATAATCCCTCTCCACTGCACACGGTTTTGACAGCAATCTGGTCAGGCCGAAGAGAGCCATCGCCGTCCCCCAGCCGCTGTTGAATGTATTTAAGGTATGACATTCGAGGTTGGCMTGGTCTCCTCTTTCCGTGTGGTGGGATTTATAGAGCATAGCACTTGGCGGGTTCCTTGTCGGGGAGTCGCAGGATATTACCATGGTAAATCACTCCTTTAGTAACTAGGRTACAAGAAAGGAGGTGAAATGTGAGCCCCTTGTCTTTTGACTGACTGGTAGCTTTGGCCACAAAGCACGTTAAAATTGATAGAGAGAAAGAAAGAGGGTAAGAGAGGTGYGGGGTTTTAATTAACTCAGGCATAAGGACAGCAATGATGGTCAGAGCGGATCAGAGTGAGCATCTTGTCTTAATGTGTAAACACTCTGTGAGGTCATAATGAAATAAGGTAGTTCTTTTGTGTGTGATAAGTCATTTCAATTTTTTTTATATAACTCGCGCTCTGATTGGCTGATGACCGTGTTTATATCAGAGGACAGAGACATGACTTACCAACAAACTTTGTTTTTCGCTCAAAAAACAGAAAAAAAATATAAAAAACTCTAAAACAGCCACTTCTGTCTCTGTCCTCTGATATAACCTGGTGGGAGTTGAAAAGCACTCAAAAAGCAAGAGAAGCTTCAAAGCTTGCTTCTCTCATGTTTTTCTGCTCTCACCATGTTTATATCAGAGAACAGAGACACAGGCGGCRTTTTATATAATTTGTTAAATAAAAGCAATGAGCTGACCAGGTTTATACTGTAGGTTTCTTTCAACTATAACCAAGAGTACAAACCGTAGATATCATAAATAAGATGGCATTCTTTTGTTAAATATACTCAAAAAAATGGGTTTTGATATTTACTTGAAAAAACGAGATTTTACCACTGTGGCATTGTCTACTGATGGTTACAGCTATATTGTTTATATCCATCTGTATCATCACACTTTCAATCACTATTCAGCCTAGATTTGTATACCATATGAAATAATCAGTTGTTATTATTGCCAGATGTTGGGAGAAGTTGTATCTTGGTTAGCATTGGGGGCAAGAATATCATGTTGGATTGTGGGATGCATATGGGATACAATGATGAAGTGAGTGAACATCAATAAGATTAAAATGAAATTATAAACCTTCCGCTAATAGACTGAATTCAAATTCTCTTTTTCAATGGTTTATTTTTCATTCATTTGGGTTTAGGTCTCAGGGGGCCTTAGGTCTCTTAGGTCTCCCTGGGGCGTGCGAAGTTCCTTGATTTTTCAAATATGAAATAATGGCTAAGTAGGGTAACTTTCAATCTAAATTAAATTAGATAAAAAGAAACAAAAGGTGAGACCAACTTACATTTAGCTCGATATTAAGATGTAGTTTCAGAATATATAACTTTTCTCCAAAGTTATTTGTTTTATTGGTGTATTTTTGTTATTTAATTTTGTTATGGACATTACATATCAAAATGATGAAATAGACAGCTTAATTCACTTTGCAAGCCAAAGAAAAAACACTTTTCTATGGTACCTCAGATCCTCTGTTAGCTAGTCATGGGTCATCATAACATACTGAGAAAATTTACAAATAATTATATGTTTTATGAATAAAATGGTGTTACGGACATTACACAAAAATGTTACGGACATTACATCATTGTGTAATAATAATAATGACTTTAATCCTCAAAATATCAAATTGATACATAAGATACAAATGTTAACAATACACCTAATAAGATGTTAAAAATATAATTACAATCATAAAGGAATAATTTACGTTCATCATTATATATACTTTCACTTAAAACTTCAAAACAATATTTGGAAAATAATTTTGTAATAGATTCATCTTTCATTGACAAGAGATATTTTAAAAGATCAAAATCATCAAATACATTGAAAACTTGGTTTATCAACCCTAGGTTTTGTAAAAATGTTTTCCTTAATATCTCAAGTTTTTCAAATTTGCAGGACATAATGTAATGAAATTCATCTCCTACAGAGGTCGAGCCACATTATAATTATCTTTTGTGTGACAGCTAAGCATAATATGTATTCTGGAGACATGCTCAATTCTATGACAAGGTGCAACAAATTGGAAAAGTTTGAAATATATTGTCAGTGTATTTAATTACAGTTAAGTGACGTAACATTTAATATATTATATAGTAAATTAGTGTCATAATAGTAAATATAGTAAATTCATGTCATAATTGATAGTAATCAAATGTCAGCTAAGCTAGCTTGAATGTTTGTGAAGAGTTTGTCAATAACTTGAAGACAAGAAATGTGGAATGGCCTGTTTCCTTGCAAATCAAATGGGCCCAAAAACATGTAAAAATACACAGGAACTGTGGACTGAGTAATTGTCATCTCTGATTGACCAGTCAAACCTTTCAATCACAGAACTATGAAAAAGAGAGTATTTCAGTGCTGAATTTCTAAAACTTCAAGACCTTCAAGATGTGGATTACTAATTAACAAATAGTTCACTGCCCAGGAATAAAAGGAGTAACAGGTCATAATTATCTTAATATAATATGGTGGTTTTATTGCATGATTGAAGGAAAATAGACATTTTTTTAGGTCTCATTCCATATATTTCACAGAATGCAATGTCCGTAGCATATTATGTAATGTCCGTAACACAATACTTTCAGCAATTACTAGGTTACAAATTTACAGAACTGTAAAGTACAATAATCTTACAAAACTTCTRCTCATAGTCCATCATAAAATAGTGGTCATTGACTTGAGAACCAATTGAATTCAGAGGAATTGGAACTTGAAATCATAAACTTTGAACAGTGGTTGTTTTAGCTATAATGTCCCTTGAAATTAATATATTAATTATCTGGTAGAGTCTTGTCATTTGTTTTTTCTATGAACTGAAAGAGACATGCCCTAGGTACAATCTAGCAAATAGAGCAAAAACATTATAATTGTTTGTCTTGAAAGAGCTGAAAAGACAAAATTGTAAAATGGCCTCTGGATGTAATGTCCGTAACGGTGGAATTGCCCTTTAGTGTTTGGCTTGTACACATTGTATACAAGAATGGGGCTGCGCATGGATGGATGTGTATCAAATTAGCTTGTAGAAATGACAGCATACTTCAGAAACATGAATAAAGGAGTTTCATCCTTCATGGCAGCACGGATGCTGAATTGCTATATTACAGACAAATTTTACATACACTTTCACATAGGCATGCTGCCAGCTAGGCGCTTCTTTTACATAGCAACATCGACTGAGCACAGCAGATACAAATGCTTTGTTTTTACTGAGGGAGGAAAAAAACAGAAAAGAACCGGAAAAACCCTTGAAGCAAGGGAGAGAATGAAAGAAACTCAAATCACTTATGGCACTCAGGCCAAGATTCGAACAGGGTCCATAGATCAGCCACCCTTACTTCCCTTATATAATGTATCATCCTTTTCACTATGGATTATTATTTTAATTAATTGATTCATTTCAGCGGCGCTTTCCTGACTTTTCATACATCTCAAGGTCAGGTAGACTAACACAGCATCTTGACTGTGTTCTAATAAGGTCAGTAGATCATATTGGATATGAATAGTTTACCCATTTCTACAAGTTTCTTACTAAAGCCAGGCTATCATTGTATGTACAATTGATTAAAGATTATTGTCCATTGTGCAACCCATTGAGCAAACTCATTGTTCATGTAATATTATAAATTCATACTATATTATTGAATGTTTATGAATGAATTTCAGTCATTTTCACCTTGATCACTGTGGAGCACTACCATACTTCTCAGAGATGGTTGGCTATGATGGACCTATATATATGACACATCCCACTAAAGCTATTGCACCCATTCTGTTGGTATGTAACATTTGCATGTTTCATTTAATACCAGTACTATCATCATCATCAATAAAAGAACTTGAATAAGAGTATTTTAAAAGCAACACATACAGTGTGTATCATGAACTCACAATTTACTAAATGTCGAATATAGAATGTAGAATGCTTGACAAGCCTTTCTGTAAATACAATAGCAATTCTTTCATTTAAATGCTGAATATTTTCATCAGTATCTGTCAATAATAGCTATGTTTTGTGGAGTAAAGGAATATCATGATTGGTTTGCATTAGTTTTAAACTGACAGGAGTTATTTCTTTATTTCAGGAGGACTACAGAAAGATAACAGTGGAGAGGAAAGGAGAAACGAACTTTTTTACTTCACAGGTTACATGTATTAACATGTACATTGATTAAATAGATTTTTGTCCTCAACACTGAACTCAAACAACTAAACCATACAACGTCATAAAATATTATTTTTCCAAAGAATTGCATTAGTATGAAAATGTACAGGTCTGAATATAAAAACATTTGCTTTGTTTTGCCTCCTCTTGTTGTTGTTGTTGTTTTCAATAAGCCTATTAGATTCAGTGCTATCCTGCTCTATACCTGTCGAATATGACAATGGAATGTTATTGTATTGTGAAATAGTTTGCACGATACGCAAGACATAAATTATATATTATGAATGACATCATGTATTCATTGTTTTATTGATTCTTTCCACATCTTTTCATTGAAATAATTTGATGGTAACATTTTTATTAGATGATCAAAGACTGCATGAAGAAGGTTATCCCTATCAATTTACATCAATCAATCAAGGTAAACACTTCTTCTTTCCTTAGCCTCCTGTGTTACCATCTTTGTTTGAACACTACACCATATGGTACCATATCTAATCCAACCTCAATACATTTAATGTATGGRCAGGGATTCTTTGTTTGGTCACATRTAGAGTTGGATTAAATGAGTGGTCACCTATAATCTCCTTCAATTCTCCTTGCAGCATCTAGAAAGGTAGCAGTGCTTTTGAATTGAAGTGAGATGACTATTGAGTGTGCAATGATAGAAACATTCTTTCATATCTACAGACAATTCTTCACTGGTTTCTATTATTGCATGCTCAACAGTCATCTTCCCTCAATGGAAAGGCACAGCTACCTTTCAAGGTGGGAGAAAGTCAAGTAGACTATTAAGTGTGATGTGTTATGTATAAAATGGATGCTTCTTTTTGTCACCATAGACTTATGAGACCAATGTATCTACCCACCTTGTGTATCCCCTGTTGCAGTAAAAGTTTTGTCCATTATTAAGCAAATAAACAAAACCTTTCTGTTTTAAAGGTTGATGATGAATTGGAAATCAAGGCATATTATGCTGGTCATGTGCTTGGAGCTGTGATGTTTCATATGAAAGTTGGAACAGAGTCTGTAGTGTACACTGTAAGTTCATATATATATATGGAAGAAACTTCCAATTAGAAAGGGTCATGTGACTGAAGTTACTACTATCAAAATGCTACAAACAGGCAGAAAATTTCCAACCTAACATATCTTAATCCATGTATGTAGCATAAGTATTAAATGTAACTGAAAGGAAAAGGACATCAAGCTGGAAGACTTTACCTTTTTGCACACAATTCCATGTTAGCCAGAATGGTTTAGATCAAAGACTAAGGGTCTTCAAATATCCTAAAATATTTTGATCTGATGTGCAATATTTAGACGCTCAAGTGTTGTATAGCAGTTTCAGTTTGGCATTGTATTTAATTGTATTTATGGGCACATTGCTACACTAAATTCCTTAACAAGTTTGCTGGAATAGGAACACCAAGAAACAACATTTTGAAAAAAAAGCTGAAATTTTCTGATGAAAAATGTAGCATGAAAAGTGATTTATGTTTATACATAGTTACAGTCATTTTTACATACAGTCAAACTTGCAAATAGAATTAATGACAATGTATTTATCAAAATATGTATTTTTAGGGAGATTACAATATGACTCCAGATAGACATCTAGGGTGAGTGAGACAATGCTCAGTGTCGAAAATAACTCTGCATAGTCAAAATAAAATACATTAATGTTATGATGTGGTACCGTCTGAGCAGGGGCGGATCCAGGATTTTTCAGAGGGGGGTGGCTAACATTAAAATTTAGTATTAAAGTACATACAATTAATTCGGCTCTTTAGGTTCATGTGAAATTATTGTTTATCATTATCTCGAGCACACCTATAATATTTCGGACTTTTCAACAAACTGTTATATGAAAGATATTATTCATGAATATCTAAACATCAGTTACATCAAACAGTTCTTCTCACTCTATATTTTTTTGGAAGTAATTATACATATTTTCTGTTGTACAATAATCCTGTTATTTAATTTCTTTTTTTCAAAACTTTAAGTCTTTATATTTTTTTCCAAAAAAGGGCTGGGCTAGCCAGCCAATCCACGCCCTGGATTTGCCCCAGTTGAGATCGATATCAGGGCACACCACTWATTTCAATGAGGAAATGTTGTTACTTACAACTTTGATGGGAGAGATGCAAAYGAATCCGTATACTGTAGTACTAGAGTAGCATAATTTATGAAATGTAGAGTTACTTCACACAATGTATGCAGGAAAAGGAGTTGATGGTGGTATTGGCACAGTTTTTTAGTTGAAACTGTAACACTGCAATTCACTGACTAAATAGAGAAACTTGTAATTGGGGCCATGCCCTCTACCATTGTGGGAAATTAAGCAACATACAGGCACATGCATGAATAAAAAGTAATGAATGTTTTTTTTTTCTTCAGTTCAGCATGGATTGATAAATGCAAGCCCAATGTACTGATAACAGAATCAACATATGCAACAACCATTAGAGACTCTAAAAGGTGAAATGAAAAATAATAACCAAGGAGTTAATTTAACCTCAATATCTTGTTAATTAAAAAGTAATTGACATTATCAATATATCCTTTTATCCTGCTATTGAACATTTCTTGCATTTATTAATGCAAATTGCTAATTTGTGCTGCATTTATCATATGTTCTTCAATCAGATGTAGAGAACGTGACTTTCTCAAGAAAGTTCATGACTGCATTGATAAAGGAGGAAAGGTTAGTTGTTTTGAATTGGTATTTGACTTAGAAACTTTGACTTAAAACCCAAGGTGTCATAAAAAATATTGTTAAATTAATTTTACTCTTTTATTGAGGCTTGGGCAATCATTGGATGCCCAGTAGTTTTGATTGTAGCCCTCTTGATTGAGCCTTTTCTGTGATATTTTTTTTCTTCTTTAAACTACCATTCCTGTAGAGGAATATCAAAGGTACTCTTATACCAAAAAACTACTCATTCAAAATTTGATTGGTCATACCTGTAGACTTAGCAAGGACTTTTTTGTGTTTGTATTATCTAGTGCCTAAAAGCCAATGGCTCATCATGGCTTAGGATAATTTTTACAATTTTGCAGAGTTCCACAGGGAAGAGAGTATGGAGAACAGTGTTAACTTAACAAGTGGCTCAGATCTTAACTTGCACAAATGTTAAGGAGCTGTAGGAGGGGAAGCAAAACTGAATGGACAGAAAATTACTATACTGTATATTATTATGTTCATATTTAGGTACTTATACCAGTGTTTGCCCTGGGAAGAGCACAAGAACTTTGCATCCTCCTAGAAACATACTGGTAAATAAACCCAACACTTAACTAGACAGTAAGAAAAGGTGGCTCTGCAGCAGAACAATACATTTCCCACAACAGTGATGGGAATTTTAGGCCTTGTATTAAAAAGCACATTATAATTATAGATGTTCAATATAAAGCATTGCTGCACTTAATAAAATACCCTATACACTACTTTTTTTTCTTTAAGGGACCGTATGAATCTCAAAGCTCCAATATATTTTTCCACTGGTTTAACAGAAAAGGTAACTGAATAATATAATGTTGAGAAACATTTTATATTTCTTTATATTTGTATTAAGATAACAGCTGCATTAGAGGTGGCAAATGATCCTTTAAGATATTCTGAGATAAAGAGTTGGGTTATTTAAAATTGAGACCAATAGGCCAGGTCTTTAAATAAATTTTTCAAAATTCTAGTGTTTCACATTTTTCCTTAAAATAAAAGTCTGTTTCTGATTTCCAATTGGTGAGTCAGATCCAGGCACACAAGACCAGCTATTATTTTAATATCTCATATTCAATGCCCATAGAGTTAACATTTCTTATATAAAAAGGCCCAGTTCAAGACTGCTTTAAATGAATTGTTCATCACAAGAGAAAAATAGAAAATATTATTTGGAAGATGTCATTCCAAAACCATACAATGCACAAATCTCAGAAACACAAACTCTTACTTTTGAAAGCACCATTCTCCACCCCTTGCATTGGTTGTTACTTGCTCAATAAGAATCAGTTGTCATTATGATATGGCAGGCATCATTTAACCTTCAGCGATGGGTTTTATCATTTGCCCTTGCATATTCTTCAGTAGATAACTGATACTGAAAGTTAAAATAAACTAAGCTAAATTGCAGTGTTAATACTTTGATTTCAGGCCAATCACTACTATAAGCTATTTATTACATGGACAAACCAAAAGATCAAAAACACTTTTGTCCAGAGAAACATGTTTGAATTTGAGCATATCAAGGTTTGTATTATCTTGGTAATTTACTTCTACATTGTAACTACTAGATGCTTTAGTGACTAATTTGACTGTGTGGTTCTCTCTTGATGTTGTTCATTATGAATAGTATCTGGTACAAGAGGTAATAATGTTCAAATATTGTAAGACTAACCTGTCACATATTTTTAATGTCACATTTGAATGTGGCAATATTATTAGGTATAAAATAATGTTGCAAAACATTTGACTCTAATTTTTTCCTATAGGCATTTGATCGCTCTTATATTGATCAGCCTGGACCTATGGTAAGTACTATCATTATTGCTAATGATTATGATTGTCATCTTCATATTATTGATGACTTTCAAAAATGGTAGTAGATCACATCTGCCAATCGGGGGACTAATGACTAAACAAGGTCTAAACAGGTCTTACATCAAGACAAACTCCATTACCGCATCTGTCAATCAGGGGACTAATAACCAAACAAAGGTCTTATGTCAAGACAAAATACCATTACGGCAATTTTCACTATCATGCAAACTCAATGGCCTAACACTGACATCAAGTTGGGTTTTTGAATGCAGAATTACATAATATAATTTCCTTGTTCCTTGTTTCTTCAATGTCTCATGTCCCTGGGTCCTGCAAAAAAAGGTTTGGTGCCTCAATTTCAGTTGTCCATTAATACCAACTTCAAATGAAGAAGATCAATGTCATCAAAAATAAACATAATTGACTTTTGTTTCTAAAAGGGACATTTGCATTTTTGTTCATTCTCATGACTAAGTGAAACTGTAACACTAATGATTTCCATCCCTAAAGGGGCAGTAAGCATCCCCTCCCTTTTTKATAAGTTTTGTTTTTGTTATTATTTGAAGGTTGTGTTTGCAACACCTGGAATGCTACATGCTGGTCTTTCTCTTCAGATATTTAAAAAATGGGCATCTAATGAAAACAACATGGTTAGTTTGATCTTCATGTGTCTCCAAATTCTAAGTAAACTGTTATAATGGTATCTTCAGTTGGTAGATGATCTGKTCTACAGTTGATTTTGGAAAAAAAGTGGATCATTGAAATTCACATAGTTTGCGAAAGTGGCTGTTTGTCGATTTCTTTGTTTKAAAAACGGTTTGTACTATTAATTTTGAATGAATATGTTAATAAACGACCTTATTGAYTGGTGGACTTTGGCTTCCTTTTTGAATACAATTCATGAAATAGTTTGCTTACACTTAATGTATTGGCTGTATTTAATGAGTGTATTCATKTAACTTAATATATTTGGCAAGTTCAAATCTTTTCTGTTATTTTAATTAGTACAATTTTATATATTTTCGTATATATTCGTCCTAACTTTCAAATTAAAGACTCTAAATTACTACTTTATGTTTTTGCAGGTTGTCATACCAGGATATTGTGTTGCTGGCACTGTTGGTCACAAGGTTCTCGCTGGTCAGAAAAAAATTGAACTGGACAAAAAGAATGTGGTATGTCATGGTTAGATTATGACAATYAAGGGAAGTATTTGTTAGGTCGGTGGCCACATATCAGTCCAGTAAATCTGTATGTCTGTCTGGCATAAGATTGGTGTCCAGCTATCATTCCAGTAATAAAATGTCTGTCTGTCCATTAGATTGATGTCAATCTGTCAGTCCAGTAAATATCTGTCTGTCTGTCCATTAGATTGATGTCA